GGGGGGTGCCTGGGTGGCTCAGTTGGTTAAGCGTCTGCCTTCGGCTCAGGTCATGATCCCGGGGTCCTGGGATCGAGCCCCACATCAGGCTCCCTGCTCAGCGGGAAGCCGGCTTCTCCCTCTCCCACTCCCCCTGCTTGTGTTCCCTCTCTCGCTGTGTCTCTCTCTGTCAAATAAATAAATAAAATCTTTAAAAAAAAAAAAGTTCTTGTATTTACATCATAATACTCATGTATTAATATATGTGTAAAAGTGGAACTGCTGGGCAATAGGATGTGTGAATGGGCAACATTAAGTGAGAATGCGCAGTTGTTTTCCACGGTGGTTATGCCGGTAGCCATCTCATTGCTCCACATCTTCCCAGCCATTGCTCTTAGCAGTCTTTTAAATTTTTTTGCCAGGAAAACACACAAAATGATATTGTTCTCAGAACTTGTCTTTGCCTGAGCTTGAGCGTCTCTTTATATAATTATTGGCATTATATACTTTCTTTGCTATGAAATGACTGTGCATGCTTTTCATGTCTTTGCCCCTTTTGTTGTTGCGGGTTTTCTTGTTTTGTAGGCGTTTTTATGTATTCTGGTGCTAATCCTTCACCAGTTCCATGCGTTACAAATATCTTCTTCCAGCTTGTGGATTGTCTTCACTCTGAAGTGTCTACTGATGGACAGAAGTTTTAATTTAATGGAGTCATACTAATTGACCTTTGTTGAATGCTTAACACTTTTTGTGTCTTTATAAATTCTTTCCTGCTTCAAGCTCAGAAAGATACTCATTTATATTTTCTTTTCAAGTTTTCAAAGTTTGCTTTTGACATTTCAGTTCTCCATCCATCTGGAGTTGATTTTTCAGCATGGTGTGACTAAGAGTCCAATTTCATTTTTTTCCTATGGATAAACAGTTTTTCCAGCTTTTCCTTTTCCACATTCTCTGTCTTGCTGTCTCTGTCAAAAATCAAAGTTTCACAGATGCGTAAGTCTGTTTCTAGGCTCTTCTATATTGTTGGTCAGTTTGTTGATCTCTCTCCCATTGCTACACCATCTTAGTTACTCTGTCTTTACAATAAGCTTTTATAGCTTAGCAAGGCAACGTCCCCCTTGCTTACTCTTCTTCAGAAAAGTCTGGGCCATTGTTGGCCCATTTGTTCTTCCATTTAACTTTTGGAGTTAACCTTTCCAGTTCCACTGAATAATTGGGGTATAATTTCTGTACAGTAAAGATACCCTCTTTGTTGTACAGCTCTTGTTCAGGAAATGCATACAATCATGTAACCACCACCATAGTGAAGACACAGGATGGCTCCATCACCCCCATAATTCCCTCATCCTCTTTGCAGTTGACTTTCTACCCCAGTCCCTGACTAACCCTGCTCTGTTTTTTATTGAGGCTTTTTAAAATTTCATTTTTAATTTTTTCAGTGTTCTATTAAAATGTAGAATTTCTTTTTATTGGAGTTGCAGTAAATCTATAGATCAATTTAGGAAGGACTCTATATCTGACGTCCTCTTGTCCATAATCATAATGTATCTCCGTCAACTTAGTTGGAGAGACTTTGCCTAACAGTAATGGTAAGTTCTTAATTTTTTTTTCAAAGATTTTTCATCTGTTTATTTAATTTTTAGGAAAAAAAGTCTAAAACATTTTAAGAAAGTCTTTAAAACTCCTAGTAAAGGATCCATTAGAAGACAATTGTCAGTCTAAATAAACACATAAATACATAAAAAAAAAATATGGCAGACACCTGGCGGTATTACATTAAAAAAAAAAAAAAAAAATCATGTCTTGGTTCCAAACCGGCTTTGTGGCTTACCTACAAGACTTTGGGCAAGCAGCTGGGCTGCCCTGATCTCAGTGCCTAGAGCATCTCTTCCTGGCGGGGCCCTCGTGGAGGTGAAATGCTGTAATGGGTGCAGAGTGAGCAGAGCTGGCTTGGGGAGGCTGTGAATGGGTGAGCCCAAGTGAGGGGAGCTGCCCTCGCTCACCTACCGGGAAGCTGGGAGGGCCGTTGGCATATGTGCATTGCCCCAGAGACTCTAACCAAGTGGCGCGACCAAAAGATGGTCTTGAATCATTTCCCTGACAAATTTGGAAAAGGTTAGTGTTGCCAGGCAGCCTGCTCCATGCTGCTTCTGACAGGCGAGCTGGAATCACTGGAGGACACAGCTGACAGCCAATTCATTTTGCTGATTCATCCATTCGAGGAGGGGTGGCTTGGAGCCAGAGCTTGGCTTCCAGATTAAAGGCCGAGAGCTCCAGAGCTGCTGGGATGTGAAGGAATGCTGGTGAATGACTGCCATGTGAAGCCCAGCGGTGAAAAGTGGGTTGTTATTTGTTTCCCCTTTTAAGTGATCCTAATTCCACATGTGCTCCGATAAATTCCCCACCGTGGTTAGGGAGTTGTTTGTAACGTTTGTCCCTGGGGCTTGTCCCTGGGGCTGCGAGCTCAATTATTGGAAACAACCGGATACTGTTAAATAGATCATCTTGGCTCCTTTATGACCCTATCATCACCTTTGCTTTCATGGGGAATATTGACTCAAGCCTCCTCTTTTACTTGGGAGTCCAAGTGAAACTTGAGAGAGGGATTATTGCAGTTGGCATCCCTCTGGGGCCTGCCTACAGAATAAACCTGCTGGAATAAAGAATGGGTCTTAAAGAGGAAAATCCAGAAGGTGCTTATTTGCCAACAATCTTGACCAAATAATAATGGTAGAATCTGTGGGTTCTTATTATGGATCTCACAGATAGTTTAACCCGTAGTAGTAAGATAGTCTTATGCTTACAGGGAAATTACCCCTACATGAAGTTTGCAGGCGACAGGATAATCTTAAGAGTGGAAATCTTGTCTTGTTTTACCGAATATCTAACATGGTCCCTGGGACAGTGAGCAGTTGCTGGGCGGAAGCATGGGTGGGTGCTGCTTGTTGGATATTTAAATGGTCAGCTGGTTAAATGAATGGAGAAAGTCAGAAATGTGGACCGTTGAAAGCAAGAAAAGTAGCTGTCCCAAGGAGTAAAATTTTCGAGAAAGGATCCAGTTTCTGTGGTTCTGTGCTGAGGAGTGACTTTGGTCAGTCGCACATCTCCAGAACTGGATGCTTTTTCTGTTTATCTCCTTGGGAGTGAGTCAGAGCACGCTGCTTTGAGCTCACAATTCAGTAACTCACTCTCCTTCTTTGGGAGACTTTGTATAATAGGGAAGTTCTGTAATATTCTGGGGTCCCCCACCCCCTTTTTTTCTCTTTAACTCTAGATGGATATTTGAAAAGTTACGCAAGCTTCTTAGTAAAAATTTGTATTTTTTTTTGAAGAGTAGAGTTTTGTTTTTGTTTTTTTTTCTTGTTTTGTGGTGGTGGTTGTTATGTTTTGCTCTCCTTAGATGGCTAAACATTTAGGGCATGACATTCTGTAAACCACGGCTGTGCTTGGAAGTTTTAGGCAGATCTGGTCCACTTGGAGCAAAGATGAAAAGCGTCAGGTGTCGGATATGTGGAGTTTCTGCCTCATACAATTGTCTTGCCCTCTGACTTAAGGTCCCCAATGGACCGGATCCCTTGTCTGGCGCTGATATACTTAAGGACTGAATTCTTGTCACCACTTGTATTCTGCTGTGCATTCATTCACACGGTATTTAGTGAGAACGACTCTGTACCAAGAACATTGCTAGGAGTGGGTACACAGACTCTGTGTTTTAGACATCAGCTGCCCAGGTACCAAGTCTGCTCCTAATGGCCCCGACCAGCATGGCCAGACGCTCACTGTCTCGCCGCCAGTGTGGCTAGTAAGTGGTGGTAGTGATGGTGGGCTAGGAGAGTGTATGCTCAAACTGCAGGAGCCAGAGCCAGTGAATGGCTTCCCATCTGCCAGCAGGTCTCCCGTGGATCCTCACTCCCATGCTCCCAGCACATTCTTTCCAGTAGCCTCCGAGGAGCAGGCAGCAAGGACTCAAAGGAAACCGACCTGGCCCTAGTGAAATGTTAACACCAGGGAGGGAATAAGCTCCAGCTCTCAAGTGCTCCTGCCAGCCAGAAGCACATTACGGAGAATTAGCAGTCTTTAAAAGCGGAAGGAGGGGGCGCCTGGGTGGCTCAGTTGGTTAAGCGACTGCCTTAGGCTCAGGTCATGAGCCCGGAGTCCTAGGATCGAGTCCCGCATCAGGCTCCCGGCTCAGCGGGGAGCCTGCTTCTCCCTCTGGCCCTCTCCCCTCTCATGCTGTTTCTCTCTCTCAAATAAATAAATAAATAAATAAAATCTTTAAAAAAAAAAAAAAGCGGAAGGAGAAGAGCCGTGTCTCAAGCATGGTGGGGATATCTTGAATTTGCAGAGTTCAAAGTGAAGTGCCGAGTGTTAGGAAAGGCCCTGGCCTTAGGGTCAGAGCAGCCTGGTTTTGCACCCCAGCACTGCCGCTGACCCACGGTGTGGCCCGTGGCAGCCCCTCCTCCTCTGTGCCCCCGCTTTCTCATGAGTAGAGGCAGTTCCTCCCTTGCAGATGGAGGAACTGTGAGATGAGACACCACGTGGGTAAAAACCTGGGCACAGAGGGTAGACCTTCAGTTTCTGACACAGTGGTCAGCTCTGTAGTCAATGTTGCTTTCATTTTCATTTTTAACAAGTAAGGGTTTACAGTTTTCCCCTTAGTGGTTTTTTTTCTTTTCCATTTTCTTACACTGAGAATGAGTAATTTTCAAGCAGTAATGTTACCTGCAAATACCTTTCACTTACCACCATTATGGTTCTTTATAGTTTACAGAGCACTCTCAGGCCATCAGGAAGATTGGGGCGCAGTGATTCTTTTCTCCAGATGAGAACACTGAGATTTGGAGAGCCCATGGGACATCCCCAAGCCCCCCCCCGCCCCCGGCTTCTCAGTGGCGGAGCTGTGGTCAGGACTCAGACCCGAATTTCCGGTTTCTTTGATGACCTCAGGCCACTTTTCAAAAGTGACATCTCCGGGACTAGGCTAGACTTTCTTATACGGATTTTTTTTCTTTTCCTTGTAGCTGTCAATACCAGCAAATATGCAGAAAGCTATCGGATCCAGACCTACGCCGAATATGTGGGGAAAAAACACAAGGAGAAGCAGATCAAGAGAAAGTGGACAGAAGATACTTGGCAGGAGGATGAGAGAAAACGGTTAAACACTCAGTGCATATCCTATGCTCTGCAGAATCACTACTACCACACCAATAGGTAAGAGTTCTCGACTGTTGAATTAAAAGGGCAGAGTTGTTCTAGCAATAGCTTTTCTTCCCTCTTCTCACAGGATTGTTAAGTCCTAAATCTGACTTTCGAGAAAGACTTTTTTTTCTAACTTTCCACATAATATCAGAAGTTACTGCTACCCAGGTTCCTTCTGCGCCGTGTAGACTCGCAGCTCTTGCAGTTAAACTTGTAAACCCCCCTTGAGGCAGACAGGATACGTCTCATTCCCGTTTCAGGGGTGTGGACGCAGAGTCTCTGTGACCCGCCCATAAGTTCAGTGAAAGAACAGAGTCATCTGGGTCCGATCCACCCTCTCCTCCTCCCTGCAGTCCGCCCTGATGCTCCTGCTTGGGCTTCCGACCTCGTTTCAGTTCCCTTGGAGATGCTGAACCACATGCCTGCTGTAGAAAGAGAACTTGACATACTTCCCCTCATTACCCAAAATCCTTCCCTCAGAAGATACGTAGTGGTCACTTGTTGTATCTCTGTGAAACGACAAAATGTGGGTAAGAAAATGGGGGAAAGTTCATTACAGAAAATGATAAAGATTAGAAAAGTGTGAACTGACTGAAGAATATTAGCCATAATCCCATCACCCAGAAGCAATCACTGTTAATATTTTGGATTTCCCTCTATGCTTTTTAAATGGCCTTTTAGAGATTTAAAAAATGGAGATATAGGGGTACCTGTGTGGCTTGGTCAGTTAAGCTTTTGACTCTTGATCCCAGCTAGGGTCTTGATTTCAGGGTCAGGTGTTTTGGCCCCTCATTGGGCTCTGTGATGGGTGTGAAGCCTACTTAAATAATCAAAACATAATATACAATAAAATGAACAGATCTAGAATGTTAGTTCAGAGTTCTTAGAGTTATATGCAGCAATGTATCTACCACCCAAAGCAGGACATAGAACATTTCTGTCTCTTCACATTTCCTTGCATCCCTTTTCAAGCAACCCCAAGCCTCTGCTGCCCTAAGCATCCGTTTGTCATATCTGTGACTATGCATTAATTTTGATTATTCTTGGACTTTATAAAAAATGGAATCACATTGGGAATCATATTGTATTGTGCTTGGCTTCTTTGACTTAACTTTTTTTTTTTTTTTTAAAGATTTTATTTATTTATTTTAGAGAGAGTGCACAAGTTGTGGGAGGAGCAGAGGGAAGGGAGGGGAAAAGAATCTCAAGCAGACTCCATGCTGAGCGTGGAACCAGGAATGGGGCTCGATCTCACCACCCTGAGATCATGACCTGTGCCGAAACCAAGAGTCGGACACTCAGCCGACTGTGTCATCCAGGCGCCCCTCACTTACCATGGGTTTGAAATTCACCCTTGTATTGTGTGTATCAGGAGTTTGTTATTATTTCATTGTTCAGTAGTACTCCACTGTGTGAATATACAACATTTACCTCCTCTCCTTTTGGTGGATGTTTGGGTTGTTTCCGGTTTGAGACTATTATATATAAGGTCACTATGAACATTTTTGTAAAAAATGTCTTGTGGCTATATGTTTTCATTTCTCTTGAGTCAGTACCTAAGAGTAGCATTGTTGGTTCTCAGGGTAAGTGTGTGTGTTTTAAACTTTATAAGAACATCCAGACAGTTCTCCAAACTAGATGTACCATTTTATACCCCACTAGTATTGTGTGAATGTATTGGTTGCCCTGCGTGATTGCCAACGTGTAGTGCTGTCTTTTTTATTTCAGCCATTCTAGAGGGTACAAGATGGGTATTGCGTTGTGGTCTTAATTTGCATTTCTCTGGTGACTAATGATGTTGACCACCTTTTTGTGTGCTGGTTGGCCGTTCAGATATCTTCATTTTGAGGTGGGTATGTAAGCCTCTGGCCCATTTTCTAATTGGGTTTTTGTCTTTTTACTGTTGATCGGTGGGAGTTCTTTTATGTATTCTGGAGACACGTCCTTTGTCATATAGATGTATGGGCTGCAAATGTGTTTTTCGAATCTGGGGTTGCATATTCATCTTGTTAGTGATTTTGATGAGCAGATATTTTTAATTTTGATGGAGTCATGTCTATGATTTTTTTTCTTTTATGGTTAAAGCTTTGCCTACTCTAAGGTTTCACCGGTTTTCTTCCAGAAGGTTTATAGTTTTAGTTTTTCCACTTAAATCATGACCCATTTCAAATGAATTTTGTATATGGAATGAGATACGAGTCACGATTTAGTTTTAGTTTTTTTTTTTTTTTTTAATATGGATATTCACTTGTTCCAGCAACATTTGTTAAAAAGACTTCTCTTTCCTCGTTGGATTGACTTGGCATTTCTGTCAAAAATAAATTGACCATGTATGTCTAGGTCTATTTCTAGGCTGTTCTGTTCCAATCATTTTTATGCCTGTTTTTGTGCCAATACCACACTTTATTTCTGTGGCTTTATAGTAAGTCTTAAAATCAGGTAGCATAAACCGTCCAACATTATTATTCTTTGTCAGATTGTTTTGGCTAATCTAGATCCTTTGTATTCCACACAAATTTTACAGTCCTCTTACCTCTTTCTTCGTTCAGCCTGTTTTGTAGTTTTTACTGTAGGAGTCTTACAAATCTAATGTTAATTTTCTTCTTAAATATTTTATATTACTGATGCTGTTGTAAATGGAACTGTTACTTAAATTTCATCTTCAAATTGTTGCTTCTGTAGAGACATATTAATTGTTGTATATCGACTTTCCATGCTGCAACCTTTTAAAGTTGACTTATTCTGATAGTTTTGTTTTTTTTTTTTAATATTCCACAGGGTTTTTTATGCACACAATCCTATTGGTATGCTATTAACAACAGTTTTATTTCTTTTCCAGTCTTTATGCCTTTTCTTTTTCTTGCCTATTTGCACTGACTAGCACCTCTGGTCTGTTGTCACATAGAAGTGGGAAGGGTGGATATCCTTGTCTTGTTTCCAGTAATAGACGGGGGAAGTCCAGTGTTTCCCCAGGAACCCGGCTCTTCGATTGTCCAGTTAGTCCTCTTTTGGGTTTAGGAAGTTGCCTTCCATTTCCACTTCGCTGAAAGTTTGAATAGATGTTGAATATTTTCACATGCCTTTACTGTGTCTTTAAGTTGTATGGTTTTGTCCTTTATTTCATTAATATTTTGAATGACATCAATTGGTTTTTGAATGCTTAATCAGATTTGCATTCCTGAGAGAAATCCTACTTGGTCCTGATGTATGATCCTTCCTATGTACTACTGGACTTGATGTGGTAATGTTTCGTTAAGTATTTTTATATCTTTGTTCATGAGAAATACTAGATTGAAATTTTTTTCTTTTTTTAAATCTTTGTCAAGTTTTGGTTATCAGATTTATGTTGACCTCATAGAAATAGTTAAGAAGTTCCTCTTTTGTTATTTTCCAACAGTGTGTATAGGGTGGTTTTTGTTTTCGTTTTAAGTTTTTGGTAGAGTTTACCAGTGAAGACATTTGGGCATAAAGTTTTTTTGTGGAATGGTTTTGATTATGGACTCAATTTCTGTAATAGATACAGGATTGTGTAGATTTTCTATTTCTTCTTGGATCACTTCTAGTAATTCGTATTTTTTAAGGAATATTTCATTTCATTTAAATTGTCAAATTTGTTAGCATAAAATTATTAGCTCAAAATGGTCCCTTATAATTTTTATATCTGTAGAATCTACAATTATGTCCCTTTAAAAATTTCTGATACTGGTAATATGTGTTTACTTGCTCTTTTCCTTGCTAGGTGTTTATCAGTTCTTTCAAAGAACCAACTTTTTATTGTTTTTTTTTTTTTTTTTTTTTTTTTTTTTTTTTTTTTTTTTTTTTTGTTTTTTTTTTCATTTATTTATATCCTTGTTCTTATTATTTCTTGTTTTGTATTTTAATGTTATTCTTTGTCTAGCTTCTTAAAGTGGGAACTTAACTTCCTGATTTTATACATTTCTTCTTTTCTAATAAAAGCTTTTAAAGCTGTAATCCCTCAGATTTTTATAGGTTGTCTTTTTACTACTATTAGAAGATATTTTCTAATTTTTCTTGTGCTTTTTTCTTTGACCAGGAAGTTATTTAGAACTTCTTTGATAATTATTGACAGTGGTTTTATGGCCCGGCATGTGGTCTGTCTTGGTGAATGTTCCACGTGCCCTTGAATGAATGTAACATTTCATTATTGTCCTTTCAGGTTACCTTGATTCATGGTGCTCAAATGTATATCCTTACTGATTTTTTTGGGAGTTGGCGGTGGGGGTGGGGGGTCTGCTTTTTCTTTCACCTACTGAGAGAGGTGTTGAAATTTCCAACTGTGCTCGTAAACCTGTTTTTTCATTTAATTTTATCAATTTCTTGTTTCATGTATTTTGCAGCTCTTTTGATAGGTATGTGCCTATTAAGGATTACTGTGTCTTCTTAATAAATTGCCCCTTTCATCAGTATGGAATATTCCTCTTGATATCTAGCAATAATCTTTTTTGATGTCTATTTTATCTGATAATTAATATTGGCGCTCTTGTTTCTTAACCTTGATGTTTGCATAGAAAATTTTATTCAACTTTTTACTGGTAACTTGTTTGTCTTTATAAAGTGTGTTTCTTATAAACAGCATATACTTGGGTCTTGCTATTTTATTCATTCTCACAACCCCTTTCTTTTACATTTAATCTAATGAATGATACAGATAGGTCTGCCTTCCATCTTGGTATTTGTTTTCTATTTGTCCTGCTTGGGTTTTGTCCCTCTTTTCTTCTTTTATGTTGCCTTTTGAATGAATTGTGTATTAGTTGGTATTTGCTGATATTTTAGCATCCTGTTTATCTTCTCTGTTGACTTTTTTGCTTTTACCTCTTGGTGTTATTTTTTTAGTCATTGCTCCAGAGTAGTGGTTGACAAACTAGAGCCCATAGGCCAACTCCGGTCCACGTGTTTTTATAAAGTTTTATTGGAATGCGGCCATGCTTGTTAATTTACATATTGCCTCTGGCTGCTTTGCCTTACAGTGGCAGATTTGGGTAGTTTGACAG